CTTCGGGCCGGGCGGCTAACTGAGCTTCGGGCCGGGCGGCTAACTGAGCTTCGGGCCGGGCGGCTAACTGAGCTGACATAGCCCCAGAATAAACAATTCCAGATGAAACAGTCTTAACTCCTGGGTCCGAAGGAGCATCAGAAGCACAGTCTTTTGAACCAAAGCGGAAACGATCGCTCTCAAAATGAATACTGTCATTTTCTCGAACAGGAGAAACAGGAGTTCTAGAGTTCATGAAGCTGACGTTAGCGGCCTTGGGGGAAACGGTACGTTTATCCCTCGACACAGAAGGCGAATGTAGGGGGACTTTGTCACTCACCCTAGGCGGTTGTTCGAAAAGAGTCCCAGGCTCCTGCTGGAGCCGTGAGTGCTGGCGGCACGTTCGCCGCTTCCAAGTAGAAGAGGGAGCAGCGCTGGCAGAATGACTCGGCTGTGGCTGCTCCTGCTGTGATGTGGAAACGCTGGGTGAGTCAGGTGGCACAATAATGATCCCTAACATCTTGTAGAAAGCTTGAGCTGGTGTAAGCTGGCTGCTCGCAGTCTCATAGTAATCCTCCTGGGACCGGCGGGAGCGTTTTCTGTGAGACCGGGGCATCCGGGGGGAAGAAGCAGGTGAGTGGACCGAAGGGTAAGCAGCTAGTGAGGAACGGCAGCACGGAGGCCCTCCAAGCGCTAGCCGGGTCCCGTCAAAGGCTGAGCTGCGCTTCCTCAGTGAGTCTGCTGGATCCATACTGGTTGCGTCGTTCTGTCACAGTTGGCTGTGTGGCAGGCAGGCAAGCAGTGGTGGTGGATCCAAAATGCAGGACTCAGACACAGAAGTACAACTTAAAGCGCAGCTTTATTGCTGGAAAACCTCTTACTAAACTAAACTCACCAAAAGACAAACAAAAATGCTGGTGGACTAAAACACTGTAGCAGAAATACTGAGCTGGAGCTGGAGCTGGAGACAAAACACTGGCAACACAGAGGAAAACCACACACAGCTTGTTGAGGGTACGACGCAACACTGACACAGAGAAACACAGGGCTTAAATACACAGACGGCAGTAATCAAGGGATGAGAGACAGGAGGGGAACACACCTGGGAGAAATCACAGCTGACGAGACAGGGGAAACGTAAACTGAGCACACTTACATACGACACAGACCTTCACAATAAAACAGGAAACTCCGACACATGGAACCAGACAAGACATTGAACTAAACAGACAGATTCACAAACAGACGGGGTGACACCATAGACAGACAGATACAGAGGCAGACTAAGAGGCAGACCGAATATAACACGTAGAACTCAAACAATAATAATCATGATAATAAATTGGAAAATGCTAATAATAAACTTAAAGCGCTGGGTCACCGACCCAGGACCATGACTATTACTGTGCATAATTTGTGTCTACAGTTTCGGGAAAATAATAATTTTATAAAATGCTGCTTGTCACCCTTTGCCAGGATGATGTTGATCTTGTGCGTCAATGTATTATCAAGGGGCTCTGCGTGTACCTCAACGAAGACCCCAGCAATTTATTGACAGAACATGTGGTAAGTGTTATTATAGAAGGTCAGTTTTATTGAAAATATGTGGTTGCTTCATGAACTAAATCCATCCATCCATCCATCTTCATCCGCTTTGTCCGGGGCCGGGTCGCGGGGGCAGCAGCCTAAGCAAAGA